TAAAAAAAAAAAAAAAAAAGTCTCTGGAGTGATCCAAGCAAGAAATTGCAGGGTAACAAGCCTTACATGTGTATCTGGCAAGGTCCTCAAAACAATCATTAAAAATGGAACACCATTATACCCGAAAGACTATCTGATAGGGTCTAATCAGCAGTTTCTACACAGGAAGATCATGTCTCGGTCTATCAGTATTTCTGGACATGTCAAACTAACTGATAGACAAGAGCAAGTGATAGAACATATGTGGACTTTCAAAGAACCTTTGGAAAGATGTCAACGACTTCCAAAGAGTCTGCTGTCTATGAAAAGCAAACATTGCCACTGATTAAAACCAGCCAAAACACTGAACAAGATCTGGAATCAACATTCTTCACTGCAATCAGCTAATTGGATAATGAAGATTAACAGCAGCATCCAGTCTGCACAGAGCAGGCTGTTGATCACCTGATACTGGTGCCCAAGCTCCTTGGATCACAGACCTGCAGCTCTTCCATTTAGTGCCAGTCCAAGGCAAAGTGCACACAAATCCCCATTCTCCTTCATGCAGAACCATCCTAATCCTGACACCAGACTAAATTTTCCTAGTCTGGTCTCTCTGTGTTCCACTAGCTTTCACACACCTTAGTACGATAGTGACAGGGACAGATATCCATGGCCTCATCCAGCACACATGTGCCCAGTGACTACCTCGTTAAAGGATGAGAGCATCCAGAAATGGCAAATTCCAGGTAAGTTTTCCAACCATCAAACTTTTACTGGAGAGATGAACACAGACACCATGTCATTGCTTACCAGGCCCTGACAGGTAAGGGCAGAGATGCCCCACATTCCTGCTGGCTCCCAGAGCTCTGAAGAGGGAACTTCAAGCACACGCAGTGTCCTCATAAAGACACGTCCACACAACCGATGGCCCTGTAAGGCTCCGCAAGGGTTTGAACCACTCTAAACCAGTCTCACCACAGGACCCTGTGCTGATACTGCTTTAGAGTGGTTAAAACCTCACAAGAGCAGCTTCCAGCCAGAGCCCATCGCACAGGACACAGCTCCCAGGCTCTGGCTGCCCCTGCTGAGCCCACGAGCAGCTCCCACGCGGTTCACCTCCGCAGAGCTTCCTGCAGAACAGACGGTGAGCACGAACGGCACCGAGGCAGCTCTGACCACAGCCAGCTTGAATACTCTGCATCTTTCCCAGTAAGCCTTCTCAAGCACCATTAACACAGTAATCTCGACTAATTAGGGCTATTTCCCCTCTCCTCCTCCTATTTGGACCGGCAGACTAGAGTTTTTATGAAGTATTGCCTAAATGAAGTTCTGAAATAGAGTGAACTGAACCTTGTCCTATTACCACAAATTTTAAGCTTCTGTTAAAAGGTCCAGCAGTGCTCACTATATTTATCTTTTATACTGCAAAGAAGAAAAGAAAACCTGAAGCAGTAACATTTCTAGATGGCAATCTTAAACTAGCAAAGTTTAAAAACATGCATAAACTTTTACAATGAAAAGGCAAAATAAATGGAATTCAGTATCAACCACGTCAATGTCATCTGTAAGGGAAGGCAGGGGGAGCAAACTATGAACACCACTAAATATCTCAAATCCAGAAAGGAATTTCAGCAGCTCAGGAACCTCTGCCATCCAACAGACTATAGTCAAAAGAGCAGGGAGACCTGAATAAAAGGGGGACGACAAGGAAAACACCACAGTACAGCTCTGATCATCAGCTGTGCAATCTGACTTGAAACACACCTACTTTATTGGGAGAAGAATATTAAAATATTGGGGGAGGAGTACTGACAAGGGCTATGAATTACCAACAACATGAAAGACTCTCCTATTGAAACAGGCAACCGTGAACAGAAAAATAAGGCATTATAATAAATTGAGACTTCAAGAGAAAAACAGAAAATAAAGTCAAGAAAACAACAGCTTCCAAGTAATACAGGCAACTTCATTCATTAACTAAGCTGAGAGGATAGCAAAGCCAAATTTTTAACAGAGAAATATTATATTACAACACATAAGTAGACTGTTAGACTCACTGCCACAGGAAGTCACTGAAGCCAAGATTTTACTCTCATTCGAAAAGAAAGCAGCTATTTAAACACACAATAACAATAATAATAAGGGAAAAAAATAAACACACAGCTGAGGGAATCTCAAGCTTCATAACCCAGGATGCAAGAAAGCATCCAAAGAGATCACTGGGCTGTGTTGGGCCATCCCAACACTCGCCTGAACCCGAGCGCACGGCGGCCAGAAGCCAATACCAAGGAGAGCATGAGCCACACGCAGAACAAACTGTCCCTTGGACACAGCAACACGAAGAGTGCTCAGCTGCCAAGCCAGCATCTGCCAACCACCTAAACCCCAAAAGCATCTGGCGCTGGCCAACTTCCAAAATGCAAGGCTTGCACGATTTCACTTCTGATGTGATATTGCTTTAATTTCTTCTCCCACTCTGCAGTTGTATTTTATTTTTTAAGAACAGAACCACAAATTATTTGCAAATAGGAGTCCAATTCTTGGACTCGGTCCAGAAAGCCATCTAGGCTCTTTGAAGTACATCTACCAAGATCACCTCAAATGAGCAAAGAATTAAATACTGAACATTACATGTATTCCCAGCAGAAACAAATTTGGAAAAAATCCCATTCACATGCATAAATTAAGAAATAAGAGAATAGTTCAAGGAACTCTCTGATATCCTCCCCTGCAACTAAAAAATCCCAAACAAAAAAGCCCACCACAAACACAAGCTGTATTTCTAAATTTCCTGACAATACAATGTCTATCTCTCTATATGTATACGTGTTTGCTCTAACTTTGAAGCTGCTCTGAGATGGGGCTGGACCAGACTGATGACTTCCAATGACCCTTTGCTAAATTGTTCAATGATTACAAGTAAAGCATGCCCAAACATTACACAGCAATACATTATTGCTCTGATCAGTATTAACTCTTTTTTCCCTGTGGCAATTTATTAAGCTCTTTGGGTTCTTCTTAAAAATTCAAATATAATTTCTTCAAAGAGTTAACTATTTCCTCCTCTGCACCCATCAAGAAGGACCTTTATAAATAACAGAACAGTAAACTCAAGGGAGAAAATAGGATATTAAAAGCTTTCAAAGTCTGTTACTTTCACACCACCACATATCTTTGAGTAAGTGGTGGCAAATTGTCCTCAAACAGGAAGATGCAGCTGTTGCAGATGGTACTCTGACATGTACCCCAAGAATTTTGTTTTGTTTCCTTCGTAAAACAAAAAAACATTAGAGAAAAAACAGGCCTACCTTGCTCTGTGGGCAGAAGCAATTAAGTCTGCCTGCTTTTACCACTGTCCCCACCCATACTATTTTTCCAGCCTCCCACCCATCATAACAACCATCCCAAGCGCTTGGCTGGTGCTGATGGCTCAGAGCTGAGCACACAGACTGCCCAGCACTTGCTCACTTCTTGGAGAAGGGAGGGACTCAATTATGACTGCCTTTTTTGGGTAGGAATAATAATTTGGGACACTACCTATCAAAAATTTTATAAAAATTTGTCACAGTGTAGGTAGTCAATGTCTTTCAGTTGCCATTACCTTTGGTTTCATCATCTGAGTAAGAAGTGACTCAAATGGGAGAAGACAGACAAAGGAAGCAATTGTAGGAGCTTTGTGCCCTTAATAAGTCTTGCAAAAAATCCACATAAACTGTCCGATGATGAATCCATAAACAACACTGTTTATTATGAAAAGAACTTCCTTGTAGACAAAGGAAAACCCAAACCCCAATCTTGACCGGTATCATTCTCACTCACAGGGTCGTGAGAAAAGACAAAAAAATTCTTCAACAGTATTTGTACTAGAAATAAGTAAAGACAGATAGACAGAAAAAGCCAAGGAAGACAGTATATGTAACTTTGGACAATTAGGAAAGAAATAAAGTCCACTGCTTTCCAGTGACCCCTGCCAGCTGTGACAGGAACAGCACTGTTCAATTCCAACAGTGTTCCACCCCTCACTGCCTGGTCAACTGCCTCAAGCGAGGCTGACTGGAATTCTTTAGCACACCTCTGTCCCCCCTCTAAAACACACCAATACTGCTTCCTCTTTCGAGACCTACAGGACTTTGATTGCTCCCACAATTCACACCAATGCCTGGAAGCTATGGATACAGCTGGGATCAACTTTTTGAGACAAGCTGAGTTAATTCTGCTTTGGGATAAATCCAGTACTACTAGAATACTTGAAATTCTCCATGGAGTTCCCAACAATTACTAACAACTTATTTGTATGTCACATTCCACACAACGCAAGGGGGGAAAATTATAGTGCAAACATTAAACTAAACCAACTAGGTTTCCGAATTCTTTTTCTGGTGACTCAGGCTCATGTTTTATCCTTTGCAATATTTATATCCAGAATAAAAACATACATTGGCAGTAAAACATAGCAACAGAACGTTTAACTGCACAAACATTCCACTTCAAACATGGATTAGGATCTTAAATACACTAGTTCCAAGCACTGCTCTCAACCTTCACCTTCAGAAATGAAAGTTGCTTGGAAATACTGTACAATGGAGTCCATCAAGGTGGTGTGCATACATACATTCATAAACACCTTACTGGAACAGAAGTAAGACTTCTGAGAAAAGGATTATCCTTTCCAGGGAGTCACAAGCGAAGAGGCAAACCAAAGAAGATCACCAAAACTTCAGAGCTACAAAAATAGCCAAATGCATACAGCTATTTATAACCCAGAGATTTATGCACAAAACACTTTTAGCCTCTTAACCTCAGGGAAACAAAGTCAGATGCCAAGCACTAATGTATGTAACAGAAATACAGAAATACACCCTTCTGCTGCTTACTGACCACTCCAAGTGCAGCTGAAGATATTAGGATTCACTTACTAGGATTAACAGGTTATTTCAAGTGATGCACTTCTCCCTGATAAACCAGATACCACCATCTGTTTAACATCATCAACAGGAAGATATAAGCAGACAAATTACTGATGACACACCGTCCCTAGTCTCATTCCTATTAGAGAACTCGTGTCTCCGAACTGTAAGACAAGCTGTATTTTCTGTAGGAACATTTCATCACAAAGAATTTCAGAACATTAATTAAAGTACTTTCAACAAGTCAGGTTTTCCAATTAATTACTTTTTCCATTTAATTATATGACAGATGGATAAGACACTGGCAAATTTGGAACAAAATGCAAGACTCGGCAGCATTGCTTTTCAAGTGACCAGTAACATGTAAAAGCAGTAAAAGGCGAAATATTAGGCACAGAGCTTAACACTATGGACTCAAAGTTTCACTGACTCTGACAGATCTGAGTAACACGTACTCAGAGGCTAGGGTATGAGAAACAGACGTAAAAGTAACAAACACCAGCACACTTCTAGTACTGTGGGATACATTTTCCTCAGCGCCTTTGTTTCTCACAGAAAAGACAGCAAATAAAACACCAAGAAAATGAATGTGACAGTATAAACTTTGAGTGATGAGAAGTTCCCTAATATTTTGACTCCCAAACGGAAAACCAAGGATAAGTTGTAGTCAGGTTGCCACTGTTTTAGGGTGGAAAAGAGAAAAAAAACAGAAGAAAACATAAATGCATGAAAAACACAAGATACACGAGACGAGCTCAGAGACGAACATGAAGACGCTGAAATGCAGGACCTCTAAAGGGAAGCTCTCAAGACGTTCTATCACCTGACACGGGCACTGAGGCAGCTCACGGTACGTTCAAGCAGCTCCGCGGGGAGAAGGCGCCTCACAGCAGAGCGGGAGCGGGCAGGCAGAGCCGCAGGCACGGCAAGGGCCCCGGACCGTACCTGCCCCTCTGCCGCCCGCACCGACGCCGGCGCTGGAGGACGCGGCAGCCCGGACACCGCCGGCTCCGGGACGGCGCGGCCGCTGCCCGGCCGGACCCGATGCGGCTCCGCGGC